AGACCAAACGGCCACTGGCGACCTTTACTTCCCAGGATATTGTATACAAATAAGAGTCAGCAGCCTCATATACCGGGGAGCGCTACAGACGTTTAAAGGGACCTTTATTGGAAATAGTAGGCTATATGTATAAAGTTGAAGTATTTTGGCCACATCAAACGTCATGGTGGCTAGGAAAAGATGGTGTTAGCGGGTGCAGTTTGTGGAAGGCGAGGTAGGGGCATTGAAAATGCATTGGAAATGAAAGCACATGGGGGTGGAGAGCTGGCTAGTAAAAGGTATACTTTCTGTGAAGAGAGCGATGTTCTTTTTGATTGATGATGATGAGGATATATATATATATATATATATATATATATATATATATATATATATATATATATATATATATATATATATATATATATGAAAACGAGTAGTTTAATTAAAATGTCCATACATGGGTACAGGAGACTGCATAGATTCCTCACATAATTATTACTGGGGGCAGAGGGTGGCCTCAGCACCCCCCCCCATCTCCTCCACCACCCCAAGGTTCCTGCAACCCCCTGCCAGTGATCTCTCCCTGGCCCCAAGTTACATGTGTACAAACATGTGTTCTTTAAACGCGCTACTTTCGTGTCTTGTGAAAACAAATTGCAAACTGTGGGAGAAATCAGTCAGATAGCAGCCTGTTGACAACATTTGCTTATCTCCAAGACAGAAGCAGGTAATGTCTGCATTTTTTTTAAATGTCTGTTTGTTATGTTAATAGACCACTGTAAGCTGTCTGCAAGTATATTTACTTGATTTCGCATTTGAATTCTTGAGTTGAATAGGAGAGAAATATTATCAGCGAAGTCCCAGCTGTTTGTTAAGTTAACAGACCACTGCAAGAGGTCTGCAAGTATATTTACGTGATTTCGCATTTGATTTCATAAGTGGAATAGAAGAGAAATATCATCAGGGAAACTCTAGCAGTTGGTTATGTTTATTTTTAATATTATTTATAAGAATGAATAAGAATAAACGTTCCGGGTGGTAGCTGTTGCTGTCTTTATAATCCAGTCTATTGGCGGCAGAAATAATTCCGATTCCGATTCTTTTTGAGAAAAAACTTAAAAGGTCGACGACTTTCAGACTGCTGCTAGCTAGCCGAGGCTGCTAACAGTCTCCGCCTATATTTGTGGTCTGAGTTATTTGCGTCACTTTCGTGACTAAAAAAGTATTTGCGCCGTTTCTGGGCTTAATGCTTCCTTCCGAGTCAGACCGATCGTCCTGCACCCTGTTTTTAGCAGTGTATTTCTTTCCTGTTCTTACTTGGTGTTTCCTCTTGGTTTCATTTCCCTCTAATTTGGCCAGGCTGGCAGAAATAAGAGACGTGACAGTAGTCATCCGTGTCGCATACCTGTCATTTTTTTTTTCAAACTGTCCATGGTTTGGTTGGTTTTGGAAGCTATTATTTTTACAGGATGAGGTAGCAAACCCCAAGCCCAACAATACCCTTAGTCGCCTCCAATGGCTTGTCGTTTACCTCTCAACCAGAGAATGTTCAGTTTAAAAGCACATCTGACGGATTTGTTTAACTGACCCAAGGCACACAGGTCGACTCAGCCTGAAATGGATACACAGAAGTAAACAAATGAGGAACCCTTAAGACCAAAGATTTACTACAAACAATCAAAGGTGTATCGTAAAACTTGAACAACAAACTATATAACACGGGAAGAATCCATCTCAAACCAATTAAATCGCGCCATAGCTTTCAGAAATTAAAAATTATCGAAGTGATAGACACGGCTAACGAAGACACAGTATTTTGGGTGAGAAAAAAAAGGGGCGGGGGGGGGGGGCGTGGGGTTATGCGTCTTAGAACACTTGTTTCTGCAGCGAGGCGCTGTGGTCATTTGGCTGTAATGGGTTCAGTTCCCGGCATGTTGAACTATAAATTTCGATTTCAAAGTTGCCTAATAGGTCTTTCTATCCTTATACCTCTTTCTATGAGTGCCGATCAGGGCATAATTTTATGTCTAAAATGGATACCAAAAAATATCCCGGGAAGTAAAGGCGGTCAGTGTTATATTGACCATATCACCCATCAAGTGCCGATTAGTCTCTAGAATATTCAGTCAACCACCATATGCTCGGTGTGGAAAGGGATCTTTACCTGATGTCACTCACCAGCCTAATGGATGAATGAATGAAGAACTGACATCCCTGAACTCGGGACATTCCAGTAAGTGCTCTGTCTCCTTCATCAAGAGCAAACAACAAGTCAAGATGCTTACAAGTTTCAGTTTGATTAACAGTCTGCATATGTTTCATTTAACCCCTGAGTTTAATACCTCCCAGAACCTTCCCGCTGAATGCATCTTTCAAGGTAAGAATACTCTATTGTGTTGCACAATCCATTAAATGCCAGAGAGGTCTCGCCGCGTCTGCTTTATCATAAAGTTCATCATCACCCAAGCGAGCTGCAGCAGCCAGTATGTCAGTTTGCTTATTACTCTGCTCACCTGAATATGTTGGAGAGAAAACTCACGGGATGCTCCTACTATTAGCCTTATCAAGCGATGCAAGCCCCTCTACCCATAGAAACCAGTATCTAGCAGTTGCTGACAGTCTGCTGAGTCTCCCTGGAACTTTAGGTACCATAATAATTGAGTGCTCTATGATTCACGGGTGCCGTGGTTGTTGAACTCCCAAGCTCTGAATCATAAAACCCTCCTAAGTCCTCCCGTTGTGGCCAACATTTTCTGTATATTTATTATTCCTGGACGTTGTCTGCCAAACTTCTTCTTCTTCTTTGTTCAACGGCTGTAAGCTACGGCGGAAAGTCCGGGTTGCTCGTGCATTTGGACTTTAGCTTTGCGCAAGGGCCGGAGTTTTGCGTGTACATCCGTTTTACTGACTTATTTGTGTGCAGTTTGTTGTTCCTTGCCGCTCGGGCAGATGCACTCCGACTTCGAAGGAAGTCCCCCGTTAATCAAATTCTACGACACGCTTGCCGTGAAGGCAGTGGATCTATTCTGGGCGAGGTAGCCGAAAGGGCCTCGAGCTGGCTTTGGACGCAGCGAAACAACGTAGGGGACGGGCCTCGGTGAGCTGGTCCGGGCGTCTAGCGGAAAAGAGTTTTTAATCCCTTGAAAGTCCATCGTGTCCGAATTGTCTGCCAGTGATCCTCTGCCACCTGCTAACAAAAGTCCAACATGTGTCCGGTAAACCAATCGTAAGCTTGTCGCTCGGTCGTCCAGGTACACTGAGTGTTCTAATTAGGCTGCCGCGACGACTTCTTATCTCACAGTACCTTCTGCAAATCACCAAGTCGTCTTGTCCCTATCGGAAAGAAAAACATCATCCGGTAATTTCGTGCAGCAGAGTAGCAGCCCTGAGCTTCATGAACTCAGGTGGGCCCACCCCCGAAAGTGTCTAGGAGAAATCGTGGGGGGAACACTTGTCGACGAGGATAACTTCTACTGATGACTGGTAGATCCCTGCTGTACTTGCTCCCTGTGAGTTTATTCCTATTGTTTTCCCTACAATGGGACCCCCGAACCCATGCGGTGCTAAACTAAACACTGGGACACAATTATAGCTCGGTTAGTCCACTGGGAGTTAAAACTGGTCCACTCCACTCTCAAACCTATTGTCCTGTGATCGTTGAGAATAAGAAGCCACCACAATCATAGAACAGGAAGCATATTCAGAATGCGAGCAACTTTTAGTTTACGTCTTGTATAGACGCGAAAAGTATCAACATAAAAAAAAAAATATAAAGTATTCAAATTATGTGTGCATTTCTGTGTGTGTATTTCTCTGTGATAAGTTTCACTTATCTAGGGAGCAAGATGTCATCTACAGGAGATACCGCACCAGAAATACCATTTAGAATAGCACTGGCATCTAGTGCCTTCAATAAACTGTCCAACATCTGGAAATCAAAGACACTTAGCAAACACACAAAACTCAAGATCTTCAATTCTTGTGTGATTCCAGTACTAACCTATGGATGCGAGAGCTGGAAATCAACGAAAACTCTAGACACAAAATTAGACAGTTTTGAAAATAAATGCCTTAGAAGAATACTAAATTTCAAATGGTCAGATTTCTGAACCAAAACACAAATAAGGCAAGAATCCAGGCAAGAGTATGTGTCTAATTTTATACGAAAACGCCGCTGGAACTATGTCGGCCACGCCCTTAGAATGGATAAATCAAGACTTCCTTACCAAGCCCTCATTTGGACACCACAGGGGAATAGATCTTGTGGAAGACCAAGGGAAACCCTACCTAGAACTATCATCAGGGAAGGCTCGCTCATGGGCCACTCAAACATCCAAGACCTACAACAGATTGCAACGGACCGCCATGCATGGAGAGTCATGACCTCTGCCCTATGTGCCGCACTCGACACAAGAGGAAAGACTAACTAACTAATATCTCTGTGTGTGAAGACATTGAACGCTTTTGAAAATTGTGAAAAAAAAAAAAAAACGGATGCCTTTGGGATTGTTTTGGTACCTTTTTCAAATGTTTTGGTACCATTCTCGCCCCCCCCCCCCTCCCCCGCCTACAAATATTTCGGCTGCCCTGCTTGAGAGCTTGGTAAAAGCTGGGTTGATTGATGTAAAACGAGTAACGGAGGGGAGGACCTGGCCACAATTATGGGAGGAGACAAGAAAAAACCTAGACCTGATTCCTGATTGTGTGTGATAATTCTGTGAAAGTCCGAAACATGACAGTTTGCTCTTGTCGCTACAGCACGTGACGAGGATGATGGGGATGCTGGCGATGATGATGTGGGGGTGGTGATGATGATGTGGGGGTGGTGATGATTATGTAGGGGTGGTGATGATGATGTGGGGGTGGTGATGATGATGTGGGGGTAGTGATGATGATGTATGGGTGGCGATGATTATGTGAGGGTGGTGATGATGATAATGACGAGGATAATAGCGATGGTTGTGATGATGGTGACTATGATGATGATGATGACAACAACTGTCTTCCTATGTCCACAGATTACGACCGTCATCAGCGGCTACTTAACCCCAGTCTGTTGTGCTGTATCTATCGTCTTGAGGCTTCCCAATGACAGTCTGGACATGGGTCAAGAGCCTTGTGTTGTCTGTTTCTGTCGCAAACTTTGTTGGTGGCGACACCTGTCCTTATCAGGTGATGGAGTTAACACAGACTGACCCCAAAAAATAACAAATGTAAAATATGTAGGCATGACTGACAGACAGTTTTTCCCCCCTGGCAGTACGTAGTACCGGCACCTTCAAAGGCAATTTGTTTCAATGCGGCTGTAAAAGACACTTTGTGATGGCTACCAGTAGATTTCTAGACACACTGTAGTGGCTACCAGTACATTTCTAGACACACTGTGACAGATACCAGTACATTTCTAGACACACTGTCATGAACCCAGGTTCCTAGGTTTCTAGAAACAATGAACCCTACTTATAGGCCTGCGGATATACACTTAAACAGTGTGTGTGTGTGTGTGTGTGTGTGTGTGAGAGAGAGAGAGAGAGAGAGAGAGAGAGAGAGAGAGAGAGAAGGAGAGATTCTTAGAATTCTTTTTATCCTACTTCTTCGCCTTCACCGGCTGTAAACTTGGGCGGCAAGTTCTGGCTGTTTATCCACTTCAGTCTTGCTCCCGAACCTGAGTGTTGCATGCACATCCGTTAAACAGATCTTCTTCTTCTCTTTTTTCTTCTTCATATTCTTTGGTTCGGTTTCCTATGCTCAGATCAGACCATCAGGTGGTTTGCCTCTATGAACTCACTTGTTAGTAGCAGGTCCTTCATTGTTCCCCATAGCTTGCTCTGCACACTTTACTCTTGAGGCCAGGTGTCTTTTCAAAGTTGTAGGTAGAGTGGGCAGGTCTGCAGAATGTTCTCAGGTGTTCGTGGTTCAGTTTGACAGGCACACTGTTGGGATTGTTCAATCTTTCTTTCATGCATGTGGTATATGAGCTGGAAGAGTTCTTTTCGTCGATGGAAAATTGTTGTGTGTTGCTTTCTGTTGAGTTTGCTTGTGGGTGCTTACTGTTAGTTTTTTCTCTCCACAATTCTTTTTATCTTCCCTTGATAAGTGTTCTGATTTGTGGTAACCACGATGGATGGGTGTGTTGTTTCTCCTTTGTTCCATTTTTTGCAAGTCTGTCTGCTAACTCATTTCCTGGTATGCCACAGTGAGTCGGGATCCACTGCAGAACAATCTTATTGTTTTCTGCGAGTCTGTTTAGCTGACGGGTCAGTTCTCTTTTTATATTGCCTCGTGGATCCCTCTGAGTCGCCTGGAGGACTGACATGCTCTGGTTTGTTTTCAAGAGGCGCATGAAAGTTCTATTGTGGTCCCATCGTGCAGTATGATGACCGATCCAGCTTCTCCGTTTTTTTTTTCCGGTTCCCTCAAATGATCCATCGGTGTATACGTGTGTCCATTCAGGTTTTCGATAATAGTTGTAGACATGTTCAAAGGTCTTTGCAAGCAGTACTAGGTCTCAGTCTTCAGCCTTTCTGTCTATGCCTGGAATTGTTGTTGTGACTGTATAGTTAGTTAATCTATAGGTCTATGCTGTATATCTGAATCATTTCCCATGTTAAAGGATCTTTAGAAAGGAAATCATTTTTTTGTGAAGTAGTTTTCTGACTTAATTGTATGCAGATTATTGGTTCCTTGCCTCTCAAGCAGATATACTCAGACATCAAGGACACCCCCTCCCCCCATTATTTGATTCATATGACATGCTTGTTGGGGAGGGAGTGGGTCTGTTCTTGTTTAGTCATCGAGATTATATTTCGATGGGCTCACAGACAGGCTAAATGTGTCACATAGACTATAGACTGACATGGATGGATGCACAACTGGACGGATTGGTGGATTTATACCCAGATAAACATAGGTCCAGACAGACAGACAGACAGACAGACAGACAGACAGACAGACAGACAGACAGACAGACAGACAGACAGACAGACAGACAGACAGACAGACAGACAGACAGACAGACAGACAGACAGACAGACAGACAGACAGACAGACAGACAGACAGACAGACAGACAGACAGACAGACAGACAGACTAGATAGATAGATAGATAGATAGATAGATAGATAGATAGATAGATAGATAGATAGATAGATAGATAGATAGATAGATAGATAGATAGATAGATAGATAGATAGATAGATAGATAGATAGATAGATAGATAGATAGATAGATAGATAGATAGATAGATAGATAGATAGATAGATAGATAGATAGATAGATAGATAGATAGATAGATAGATAGATAGATAGATAGATAGATAGATAGATAGATAGATAGATAGATAGATAGATAGATAGATAGATAGATAGATAGATAGATAGATAGATAGATAGATAGATAGATAGATAGATAGATAGATAGATAGATAGATTGATAGATAGATAGATAGATAGATAGATAGATTGATAGATAGATAGATAGATAGATAGATAGATAGATAGATAGATAGATAGATAGATAGATAGATAGATAGATAGATAGATAGATAGATAGATAGATAGATAGATAGACAGACAGATAGATAGATAGACAGATAGATAGATAGATAGATAGATAGATAGATAGATAGATAGATAGATAGATAGATAGATAGATAGATAGATAGATAGATAGATAGATAGATAGATAGATAGATAGATAGATAGATAGATAGATAGATAGATAGATAGATAGATAGATAGATAGATAGATAGATAGATAGATAGATAGATAGATAGATAGATAGATAGATAGATAGATAGATAGATAGATAGATAGACAGATAGACAGATAGACAGATAGACAGATAGACAGATAGCCAGATAGACAGATAGCCAGATAGATAGATTGATAGATAGATAGATAGATAGATAGATAGATAGATAGATAGATAGATAGATAGATAGATAGATAGATAGATAGATAGATAGATAGATAGATAGATAGATAGATAGATAGATAGATAGATAGATAGATAGATAGATAGATAGATAGATAGATAGATAGATAGATAGATAGATAGATAGATAGATAGATAGATAGATAGATAGATAGATAGATAGATAGATAGATAGATAGATAGATAGATAGATAGATAGATAGATAGATAGATAGATAGATAGATAGATAGATAGATAGATAGATAGATAGATAGATAGATAGATAGATAGATAGATAGATAGATAGATAGATAGACAGACAGACATATAGGAAGATAGCTGTATGTGTTTGATTCCAACGTTTTTCTGTGCACATTTCAGCAATGCAAGTGTGATGACGACAATGTTTACTGCCAAGAACTGGGTCTGCTTGTGATCCCGCAAATAACAGGGCTGAGAGGTGGAAAGAAATATCTGAAGATCATGGTAATTGTAGATGACAATTCACTGCTGATTTAGTTGTGATAGCCATAATTTGTCCTCCGGCTTTGTTAGGAGATCCACATTTTAGCCAGTAACCGAAAAAGTAGTTTCGAAAATAATTGTTTAGATAATTCTCTTCTGAACCTACTCAAGAATACCCCAGAATAAATTATTATGTGCAAAATTATACGATGCAAAGGATTCATACAAATGAAGATGGCATAGCTCTAACCTTCCTTATGTAGTGCTGGATCAGTATCCTAGTCTTCTCCGATAAGGGCGTAAAACAGGATGATCCCTATACACGCTAGAACGTTAGAGATTCTCTGTGTTGAAGGCATGCATGAATACAATCGAGCAAATGAAATTAATCAGCAAAAACTATTTTTTTTTCTTCAAATAACAAAGTATACATTGTTATGGCTTTTTGGGAGCAAGTAAACAATGTGGAATATGGTAATAGAACCTTACAGTCCGGAGTGAATGGTGCGACGGGGAGTGATTAACCCAAATTACCATCACTAAAGGAAAGGCTAGACGGACAAATAATGAAACTCTTTACAGTCAACAATTGGGTCTACTTGTGATTCTCCCAAATAACGGGTGTCCAATTTGAGCGAATAAAGGATATTCGATGGATTGCAAAAAAGCTGATGAAACTGGGGTCAATAGTAGTTATAAGCGATTCCTATATTTTTTAAAACACTTTTTGATTTGGGGTGGGGGGGGGGGGGGGGGGGCTGCGTGTTGGGGGCAGATGTCGGGTGAGTGCTGAGGTTCCGGGGTTTTCCCAGTCGAACAACTTGCAGACCCTGATTTTTACTTTCCTCAATAAGTTAAGTTTTTTGGAGTTATGTGGACTTTTATATTTTATGTGACACTTAGAAACTTTTAGTTTTTTTTATATTTTTTTTTTAAATTAAATCATATTTTATTTTTTGTTTACAGAAAACAACATCACAGAATCCCGCGAAGTCCCTTCAAATTTTCAGAAAATTCATTTTTAAAAAACCCGATAACAAAAAAACGACCCTCCGCCTTTTACGACTCCCGAAGATTTTGGAAGCCTGTCGTTTCGGGAAACTTTTTAAACGAACAGACGCCCT